AGAGAGAGAGAGAGAGAGAGAGAGAGAGAGAGAGAGAGAGAGAGAAAATCAACAGAATTTCAAGTTTGGAATGCCAAACAAAGTCTCCCCCATTTGATCTTCTGAAAAAAAATCCGAATTCAGTTTGTCAATGATGTCGTCAAAGTGAACGAGAAAACTGAAATCAAAGCGAACTTGAATAAAATAAATTGAACAGTATATTTGGTACACAGCGCCAGACGTCAATAGCAGCAAAATCGATTATGGCGTCAAATCTAAAAAAAAAACGATCGATTCAGTGCGACAGCCGAATCAAAATCGAGCAATAGGCAACCAAGCAATAAATGTTTAAGAATTACAGCGACAATTTTCGATCAAATTTCCATTTGCACGCTTCACGATCTCTATACATTACACAGTTCGAATTGTCTGTGAATTATTCGATGTGATTTGTAATTAAATTAAATGACAAGGACGGTTTGCGAACGAGCTCGAGAAAAAGTAATTAAAAATGATGAAGAGAGAGAGAGAGAAATTCCCGAGAAAAAAAAACACCAAGAAATCAAGAAAAAATCGAGAGAACGGTAGTAAAAAAAGGCACATGCAATATAATTCAAATAATTAACTTCTACAGTGCGATATTTTTATTTGATTTGATTTTCCATTTGGCGCATTCAATTTTCTCACTCTCTGTGTACTCGTTTTTTTCTTTCCAAATGTATATCGTTACTTTTGTCTCCACATTCGTGTCTTCACACAATCTTTTATTGCTATGGATTTTTTTTCTGTTCCTTTATATATATTTTTTATCTCTTCGACTAGCGCTTCGACGTTCATTCCGCTGTCAATGACTTGATGGATTTATACACATTTCATAGCATTTTATTATTGGTACTATCATAAATTGAGGATCTCATCGTTCACTTCTAGTTCATTTCGAAGTAATTCGTTTTGCAGCGGCTATTTACTGCGTACTATTAGTCTACAAATACCAAAATTACGATTCTATGTTCTAGCTACGAGAGGTCCAAAATGGCAAATTTTTCATTCCGGTATTTACATTTAAAAATTGCAGTTCTCATCCAGACTTGACATCGTTCTGCCTACGACTCTCGACTCCTCTCACTTTGCACAAAATATTGATGTTACGTTAATTTTTTTATTCCGCACAATTCTTTTCAGTTGCTCGTTTGTGTTGTCACTTCGTTTTTTTACAAAATTTTCAAAATTACATAAATCAAATTTTGATTTTCGTTCGTAATTTTATGTCACTTATGTCACGTTTTATTTCTCTTCTTTTCTCAACTTTTTTTCTCAATCTTTCACTAATTTTTTTTTTATTTTATTGTTGTGGATTGGTTTTGAATTTATCGGTAGAAAAGAAAAACACTAAATTAATTGGTCATTACTTGATTGTATTTCTGTTTTCTTTGAAATAATTTATGCAAAACACCGGGGGCTTGTTGTGCCGAGAAGACGGAGGTCAATTACGGAGTGCAAATAGACCAACAAAATTGTTTTGTATTAACTTGAATAAATTGTTTTCTTCTCTTTTTTTGTTGTTGTTAAATTTCTTTGGATCACACACAAAATATATTCAGCCGAATAATCCGAAAATATATAGGAACCCGCATCGAGAACGCGTAGAAGATAATACGAACGAATTCAAACCAAATCAATATACAGAATGAAAATGATTAGTGGCCCGTGTTTTTTCCACACCGAAAATTTTGCGACAGGCTCTGGTCCGTTTCGTTTCGTTTCGTTTCGTTCGTTCAGTGTTCTGTTTTTTTTTCTTCTCTTTTGCTGAACTGTAACTTGGCGTGTGTGTTTTTTTTCTTTTTAAATTCGATTTACTTTTTCATTGTAAAAAATTAAACTAAAACTCAACTTCTGTATGCAATCAAACCGAACCGAAGAGAGAAAAAGTCATCTTATTTTAATTGTATGTGCGTTTTCCTACTTCAGTTTCAGCACTCACTACGCACATAAAGACGAGGTGAAACCAATACACATACGCAACACAAACACACACACATACACACACCGAACATTTTGTATCGTTTGCATTATATTTTGCACGCATACCAAGATCGCTTCGTACCATTTTCGAACCATATATGATGAGTTGTGCGATGTGTGTATGTACACGCGCAGGCAAACCACAGCAATACTGTCATAGGCATAGTGCTCATAGTGCTCAATGCTTTGGTGTCGGTTATAAGTAATGGCACAATCTCCCAATGTGTTTGTATGACATCATTCACAGATACCTACGCCGATGGAACATTGTTTATGTCGAATGTATGGCTAACTCATTTCCACCACTGTGCGATGACGTTGGCCGAATGTGAGCTCGTCTCTTTCGCACACTTCAATCGGATATTCAATATTTTTCGATGCATTTGTATTGGAACGCCGATCGCAATTTAATTGACCATTTGATTATGAGCGGAAAAGGGACAGCAAATGATTATCAAAATTTTGCAAATATTTTCATTTTCAGAAAACGGTCAACCGATTCCATGAAAATTATTTGGTATCATCGATTTTTGAAATCATTTGTTCTTTTCAGAATTGTCGCTCTGCTCTTTGAATGCGCTGCAATTGTATCGTTTTCATTTTATTGTATCGATCTACTTGTATTTTCATCTTTTCATTTACTTTGCTAGTATATGTGCACCCCTTTTATTGTAACTGTGGACACAGAAATGATATACAAATGTAAGTGGCTTACTGTGCAAGTGCAAATCATTGCTTTAATACTCTACACACATGCATGCCGAAAATTTAACCAACTTACACACATATAGGTATATATACATTCATGCACACATACATATGCGCATATTCATTGCTCGCTATCACCATCGCAATCGTTCAATTATTTCGATTCAACGAGCTACACGAGTTTTAGTGTATGAATGAGACGAATATCGATTTGAATTGAAACAGCATCACTTAAATACACAATGCGAATTTCGCGATGATTTACTCGAAATTATCATGCAGATTGTTAATTGTCGGTAATTTTGACACATCACATTTAAACCAAACAAACTGTTTACCATCTCAAATGGTGATGATGATGATGATGGCAACCAAATAGTGCCGTTATTTTTTCTCATGTATTCTCTACCATCGGATGCTAAAATTATTGCTCTGAAATCGGCATTTCGCACCGAGTTTTTCTCATTTTCTACAATGAGCCATTTTCGTCTGTAACAAAGGAAGCTGATCAAATAACGACTCCAAAATTCGAATCCATTTAAAAAAAAAACGATTTTTTAAATCTTTTTTCGTCCATCGAAAATGGTTTAATCGCTTGTGTGGCTCGATGATCGAAATTTCAATTCAAATTTAACGATTAAATACTTTTTAAGTACGTGTCAAATACTCTTTGGCGATGCACCTTCGTTGACATTTACTCCATGGTTTTGGTGTTGAACAGAGAATTGGTGTGTGTATGACATGTGTCAAGAGCAAAAATGTCGTCGAACACTGATGACACGAATTTATTAGCGCAAAATAATTTAATTTATAATAGTTTTGACTGGAAACCAATCACATTTACCCATGTCGAGTATCCGAAAGGTAAATTGCCCTTTGAAATTCACATCAAATTGAATTTTCTGCCCATTTTTCCAATCAATATGCGAAACTCAGCTCGGATGGGTCGGACACAAAGTCGATTCCATAAATAATACTCACGAAGAACCTCTACCAAAATACATAAACATTTAGACCAGTTGACCATTTCAGTTTCACTTTTCGATATCTGACCGACTTCATTATTTTTTTCGTAACTAATTCTCTGTGTGATATTGAAATAAAGCAAAGAAAAACGAACCAATCAACTCAGAACATAAGAGATGGTTTGACCATCGCTTTACATCGGGATGGCACAAGTGACATCATCGTGAATACTATTTAAATTAATTAAAAAAATTACAAGCGTAATTTTCAGTTAGTCTCAATTAATTCCAAAATTGTATAGAAAGAAACCCATTTGTGTGAAATTTGCTATTCAATGGACGAGAAATTCCCATACCACAATGATATTAATTAAAAATGTTGTATCAATCGTTCTAGGTGATCTTTTTGGTCAGCTGCTGGCGTGGATTAGTTTGGCGCCAATGGGAATTGGAGCTGGTTTCGTTACACTGATTATGTTTCGTAGAGATTTGCACACAGTAAGTACATCGAATAAGCCCGTCAATCAACGATCCACTGATACGCACAATTCACTTGTTTTCTATTTTTCTCATGTCAACCATTCACCTCTGACAATTATATGCTGTATTAACATTAATGTCTAACTTATTTCATTTATGCAATTGTAGATAGCATTTTTTATTGGAACCCTAGTAAATGAAGTTAGCAATATAATATTAAAACATTGGATCAGAGAGCCGAGACCGGTCAATCGAGTTCACATCGGCACCGAATTCGGAATGCCATCCAGTCACTCACAGTTTATCTGGTTCTTTTCCACATACGTCACGCTATTCATTTTCATAAGGTGAATTCAAACTAAGAAAAAAAAATATTTAGCTGATGATGATGAACTAACTTTTCGTTTTTCGGTTCTTTTCTTAGGCTACATCACATAAATAACAACACTTTATTGCCACTGGAGCGCGCATGCCGATTATTTGTTTTAGTGTCATGTTGGTGTTTGACGGCGCTAGTGTGTTTAAGTAGAACATATTTGCAGTACCACACATGGAATCAAGTGATTGTCGGTTCATTGGTTGGCATCATCACCGGATTATCATGGTTTTCATTGACGCATTTAATTTTAACACCGCTATTCCCAATCATTGTGTCCTGGTTAGTATTTGCTTCTTTATTACAACAGACACTCTTTTTTATTTCATTGCCTTCCTTTCTTTCACAATACATTGAAATTGAATTGCATTTCATTCAAAGAATAATTTTCTTAAATTCATTTCAAAATAGGAAATTATCCGAGTATTTATTACTGCGGGATACAACGCTGATACCGAACATCTTATGGTTTGAATACACGGTAACGCGACAGGAAGCTCGAGCCCGAACTAGGAAGCTTATTAAGACACATCGTTGACATCGTTGGCCCTATTGAATGGGGCTAAATGGTCAAATCGATGAAGAAATTCAAAAAGACACACACAATCCATTCATTTTCATTCATATAAACGAGAATCGAGATATATTTGAAACTAGTTTTGTTTTTTTTTCTACTATTCACTCACACTTTCTTTGTTAAGACTGGTTGAATCAGAAGCGATTCGTTTTTATCAGTCATTTTACATAAACGTAACACTAACAATACCGAGCCTAATAATAAGCAAATTGTACAAAATGGCAGAGAACAAGTAGTAAAATTCGTCTGGTACTTGAGCATTCAAAAGCGATTTCTTACGACTTTTTTTTTTGCAAGAAACAACAGGCTAACTACTTTCATATAAATGTACCACCTCAGAAGAAGTGTTGCTTCACTGCCGCATCAAGTGTGTGAAGTGGAGGATTAAAACGAACAAAAACCACTAGCAAACAATTTAAACCCCAGAAAACAGCAATAAGATTAACGAAAATAGTAACCATGGTGGAATCGATCGAAATTTTGAAAATAATTTATCTTTGTTCAATTTTTTCTCCTCCTTTTGTACTATATATAAGCGAAATGACCTAAAACAAATTACACGAAATGTTCACCATTTCTATCGAAAGGATTTGCATTTTAAAATGTTCAATACAACCCTTTTTAGTTTAATAAACGTCCAAAAAATATCGAAAGAAAGAGAAAGAGAAAGAGAGAGAGAGAGAGCGAGGGAGAGAGAGAGAAAAAACATAAATGATTAAATTGAATGTAAAGATTGTAACTCATATTCTAATCTTAAAGCGATAATTGTATATTGGGCGACATTTTCGGATTTGATCAGAAATTATTCTTTTTTTTTAAATAGCAAAATACGCACAATTCGGGGTTGGCTGTAGACAGCAGCGCGTATGCGCTCACATTTATATCTGTCTTAAGAATAGCATTTTTATTGCATAACAAATCTGGCAAGGAATTCAAATCGGTTTGAAAACGGAGACAAACCAGTATTGTAATACGATTTTATTGATGTTTTTGATGAGTAAAAACAGAGAGAAGACTTTTCATATTCATGAATTATTCCATGACTATTCCAAATCACTTTTTTTTTCTTAACTCAATTCTATTCTGATCTTGTTTGATGTCACGTACACAAACTAAATAAAAAAATATTATTTGGATTCAAAAAATAATTGAATCGAACAGTATTTCGTTTGGTGAGAAGCAAGGGGGAAGTATGGTTTTGCCGTTTCATATTTCTGGGATGGAATGCGACAATCTGAGCTTACAGTTTGTTTTGGAAGATTCGGTTTATGTTTACATGCCTCGGGTGGTTGCTGGTTTTTTAAGCATTTTTTGCGAAATTGATAACCGTTATCGGCTATTGGTGTTTTGAGAAAAATTGTAGTGCTTGCACACTTGCAGACAGTTATCTCTTATCAGTTACGCGAAAAAATGATCCAAAATTGACGTTTGCTCTTTTATATGACTGTAATTTACTAATTTGAAATTTGAAGTAGAAGAGAGAAAGAACAAATAAAACGTAGATGTATGAACAATTTCAAATGTAATTCTAGCGATAGCAAGAGAGTACCGTCAAACGTATTGATATAAAATGACTTTGACTCTTTTATTATTTAATGTGTAATTTAATAAATAGAATTCGAAATTGACCGAAACCAATTTTGTTTCTCTCTTCAAATTGAGATTTACAGGATATTTTCAGAATATTTGTCAAACGGCAAAATTGAATATGAGTGGAATAAAAAAGACTGCATGCAGTCGATTTGTTTCAGTGCACTACAGATCTTACTATCTCTTACTGTTCCACAAATGAAATGAGATCAACGTCGGTTACGCTGTGTTGATTTCATTTTCATTTCTAGTTACTCTTTTTTGCCAAATAAGTGAGATTTCTCCAATACTGCTAAACTAATTGAGTCAATTACATGACGACATTACGCATAATGTATGCCCCGGCCTCTTATTACAAATTAAAAGACACACACGACACGCACGATTATCGACATACACACCATTGATGTTGCGCGAAGTAGAATTGAATATCGAGCCCAAATACTGGAAGAAAAAAACTGCATAATTTTGAAAGTCGCTTTGCTCAATTTGATTTTAATTTATCTTCTTGTCATTTCTATTTGGCGATTCATCGCCTAACATATGATTTGATGATCGTGTTTGAAACCAAATATTTATCGTCTAATATGTAAATAAAAATTTAAATAGAGACAATATTCTGCTGGCTTAAAGCGTATGATAATAAATAATTCATTAATGTGCGAGAGTGCGAGTATTGTACATTGAACTGAGCCACTTAGTGACGGTCACTTTGAGTCATGCGTGATGTACGTGGATCTCGATTCAATTTTCATGCCAAAAGTAATCAGAACTCTTCACTTCCGTAGCGAAGTGCAACGAATGCAGACAATCAACAAATTTAGAGGTCATAACACGAAGTAGTAGTAGTAGTCGAATGACCGATCTCTACGGCATTACTTATATTGAATCCAAAAACGTTCACCATAGCCGCCCGATGCAATATTCTTTTATTTCCGCCAATGCGAAACTTCCACATATTTCAGTTTGAGAAATGTTTTCGGAACGCAGCGACGCCGGTATGTAAAACGTCATACGTTCACAACGCATTTGAACGTGCAATTTGAGTTTGAAATGCAACAGTAATACAACGACTATATAATTATGCGGTGATAGTAAATTGAATCGGGCGATTCGATTGCGAAGTACATATTTCACAAATAAATTATCATGTCCACTGTCCATTTTTCGTTCGATGCTCTGGCTAGTATCAGACGTGTGCAAGGGGGGGGGTATTCCGGTTTTACCCTCCCTCTAGGATTCCAAAATGTGGACCCCCCCCAGCGATGTGGAAAAATTGACACTAGATATAATCAATTTTCAAAAGTGAGGACCTTTTTTTTTTTTTTTTTTAGGTCTTCACTTGTTTTTCGGCACCCATTGGCAAAATTGTAGACCCCCATTGTGGAATTTTGACTGTTTTACACTAGATAGAATCGATTTTCAAAAGTGAGGACCTTTTTTTTTTTTTTTTAGGTCTTAATTTTTTTTTTGACACCCATTAATAAATTTTCACCCCCCCTTTGGCAAAATCATTTTACCCCCCCCTAGAATTTTTGACCTTGCACACGTCTGGCTAGTATTTAAATTACAGCTCTTGAAAAATTAGTAGTTTTTGGTCAATTGATGTCTCTATTATTTGTGTAATCATTCGCTGCAAAGAAAAAAAAATTAAAATAGTAGACCATATAGCGAACCATATCATTTGTACATACATACAAAAAATACATTTGCTTTTGTTTCAAACTACGACCAAATATTCAAACACTTGCCAAATGTGAACGGAACAATAAAAAACAATGCAAGATTAAAAAAACGTTGATAAAATACACAGGTTTTCAACGAGACAGAGATTATTTTCATTGTTCAACATCGCTTAATTTTGCCTGTTTGTCACATTTGTTTGCATTTTATTATTGTTTGATCGGTCGAGAGATGCGACTGCTGCTGCTGTTCGAGTGCAATCTAATAAGTAATGTGTGCTGTTGTTGTTTTTTTTTTTCTCCGTTCAAATGTAGAATACAACGTCGTGCTATTTGAATGATGCGAACGTTTAAGCGAATCGTATGATTCCACCGTTCGATGGTAGCATACATGCCCATACATCAAAAATCCACATAGCATTGTAAAGCAGTCGTGCCGAACACAATTCAGTCGGTCGCTGAACATCGATTCATTCAGTAGCTGAGCCAGCAAAAGAACATAGTGGACAGCTGTGAGAAAAAAACTCATATTTTTCACACACTATCACACATGAAGTGTTAGTTTCTTTGAATTTCTCCTTCAAATTGGATATATTTTCAAGAACCACAAAATCAAATGCAACAAAACATTAGTATTTGTTTTTCATTGGATTATTTGGCGGATTCAATTAAAACTCCGATAATAAAAAAGATTGTGATTCGTTCTCGGCCCAATATAAATTAAGGGTTCTGTGTGACGATGATATACCGATCAATCAATTCCCATTAAATAATTAATTGTGATTGTGTGATATTCCAAAAGTACAACTCAACATCAGAAACATTCAACAAATATATCGATCACCAAAATCGGTGTGCTTAGACAATTTCCGTCTGAATTCAGTTGAAAGTAAATTGAATTTGCCAGTTGAAACGTACGAAAGGTGGTTTTTTATTTTGCTACTATTTTAAAGTTCAGTAAATAAAACGAATTGTTTGAAAGAATGTTTCACTCCAAATTGTCCACGATGCGAATGGGAGCGACAGCCGTCATCAGTTCGGTCAATCGATTGCAGCTTGCCATTGATGCAAGTAAATCGATATCGACTGCAGCATATTATCCTTGTCGATATCAGCATGTGACGTGTCCTGCACCGACGACCAAATCAATCCACTCGCAAAGCGCTCTCAGCTATTCGAGTTTCAGCAAGAAGCATGCAATCGTAAGTATTCGATGTTATGAAATGAGCCGGTGAACAGAAATAAACAGTAGAAGAAAAATAACACCAAACAGATGATTCTCTTATGCTGGGCAATAAGAATTAATTTTTAAATTGTGAACTAGTCGCAAGCGCCCGACAAAAATATTAAATATGTCCATTGCATGGGCAAAGGACTTATATCTTAGTTTCTTTGCATCGGTATTCAGTGTCGACCCAATTCTGAATTGCATTGGCTGCTTGCACAACAACAACAGCAGCAGCAGCTATAAACATACCAAACTGAGTGTACACATCGTGCACAACGCAACGAATGAAAAGGGTAGCGCATCAAGTATGAAGTCTTATGGTATCACGTTTCGAACTCGTGTACATACCGCTTCAACGGCAATCCGCTTGAAATCAATAGACTGTTTCCTACGTACGCTTTTTCTCACACTCTCTCTCTTCTGTCGCCGATGTCAGATGTTTTGAACGTTTTAGTTATCATGTTGTGTGGATTGCGTTCGCATTTAACATTTCTATCGAATTTAAATTACAAATCAATTGAAAAAAAAGACAATGTTCGGGCTTACTTCAAAACATACACGGTGGACAAACTACTCAAATCACATAGAAGAAAAAAAAATCGATATTCGACATACACATTCTCTATAGTCTAAAAATAGATAAAAATACAACAACATAACGAAATCATTTGTTTATCTATTATTCCCAATTGGGTGACTATTCCATTTCTCACCTTTGAAACTATATTGTGCTAATGTGCAGAAGGTCTTTGATATTTGGAAGATTGACACATATTATGGTCGCGATGACGTGTGATAGATCTCAATATGACTAAACTCACAATGCCATTGCATTGATTCGGATTAGATTTGTCCATTATTTCATCATCGTTACAATTAAACTTGACATAGACCCAGTTTATAAGTTATGAAAAAAAACCTGAACGTCCAATCTCTGTGTAAATAAAACGAAATAAGATAAAAAAAAATTATCTCGAAAGAATGTTTGCAGAAGAAATGAACACGATTTAAAAAAAAGTCACTTAAATTCTGGTTTATATTTCTTATCAGTTTTTGTCTCAAATAATATTATGCATTAAAAATTTCTATCTATCTCTACCTCTTTTATTCTACGCACATCAAACAAAAATAGTCGAAAAACCAAAAATTTTCCATTTTGATTTATTCATGCGATCGAATGTGTGCGCTCGGCAAATCGATGTTCGTTACTTTGTATTTGCTCATGAACAGCTGAGCGTAGCGAGCGTAGAAACGAATCAATTCACACTTGAAGCGAGCGAATTGCATTGCGACACAACAAATTGGTCCATAACCTTCGCTTGAATTTTGTTTTTTTCAAGTGTTCGTTTCTGTGGGCAGTTGGCGCTGCTATTATATCACGTTATGCTTTATGCTTTGTTTCGTATTCTTTCGCTTCTCCTTTTTTTTTTACCGTGACAATTTCGCTTCAGGTATGCACTCTCTTCGTTGTGGTTTTTTTCCATTTGATGCCGATCACGCGGCCACCACGGGAACCGCCGATGTAACTCACCGTTTTTCTTTTCGTTTCGTTTGGTCAACGTTCGTTGCGGGCAAGCCCATTCTATCTTTCTCTCTCTCTCTCTCTCTCTCTCTCTCTCTCTCTCTTTTCTCTCTTCTTTTTCAATTGTCTTTCGCAATGTTTTTGACTGACGTGTTTACTCGGCAACAATTATTCCAATTAACTGTCATCAATTTGCGCTGTGGAGAACATTTGTAATAGCCAACACTACAATATCCAAAGAAAAGTTGCCGTTTTTTTTGTATCATATTTTTTTTTGCAAGCAAAAACTTTTGTGTCGCTAATGAACTATTGATGCAATCATGACAATTCAGATTAAACGCGACCAATTTTCTTCGTTTCTTCATTTTTAAGATGCATAAAAGCGACTGTGCATACAACGCACGATGTTTGATCCCTTTCACTGACTTGCAGAATTGTTTTTGACATTCTAAGCAAATGTCTTGAACACATAATACCTATGAATTGAATTGCATTCGAATGGTCGTTTTTAACGAACGGTCATTATTATTGATATTGATGAACGGCTCAAATGCAGCCCTCTCGGTTCATTCCAATAATGATTGATCTTCATGGATTGACGTACTAAATATGATACTTTGTTTCGAAACGGTCATTCGTCGGCATACATGACTTTTTCCACAACATCAAGAAACAAATACTATAAGAAGGAAATACTTTTCCTTGTCATTCTGGGACAATTGACACTAGTAGCCGAGTATTTGTGGTTCTTCACTTAATTGATTCCATAAGCATCAAATACAGAAATAGACAAATAGACTGACTACAAACTTTACATTCAATTTAATGATAACTTTTTAACACCCACCATTTCTATTTTAGATTGGACGCAATAATTTGGCATTGCCGCAGCTTCGTTCGATTAGTACTCATGAAATAACAAAGCACATGCGATTGCTAAGCGAGCAGAAGAGATGCATTGAGAAAGATGACACCACATTAAGGTTAGTTATACCAACGAAATAATGAATTTCTCTTTAAAAAAACAACAACAACAACAACAACGCTTGTGCTTTTCTTTGTGCAGATTGAAAACCGAACTCGACAAACCTTTGGTCGTTATGTTCCAATGGCTAATGGCAAAGCCAAATCATATCAAGAAATATGCTCAAATTTACATCGATCAAGGGTTCGATGTAATGACTGTGAGTGTTACACCATGGCAAGTGATGTGGCCAACTAAGGGGACACAGGTAAAAAATGAATTCATAAATTATAACATTATCGTATTTTACATATTTTGACGTATTTAATAGTCACTTTCATCCATGTAAATTATAATATTTCGTTTTTTTGCTCTTGCTCATGTTACAGTTGGTTGCGGTTGACGTGGTCAAATTTTTGGAAAACAATGTGAATCAAAAAAACCCGGTACTCTTGCACGGTTTTTCGGTTGGCGCCTATCTATGGGGGGAATGTATGGTCCATATGTCACGCGATGTGGATCGTTATCGTCTTTTAATTGATATGATTCAGGGGCAAGTTTGGGACTCTGCTGTGGAATTATCGGAACTCACAATTGGCGTGCCAAAAGCCGTTTTCCCCAGAAATGATACTTTGCAAAACGCATTGAAAAATTACTTGATGTGAGTGATTTGAGAAATTTTATATTCCCAAATAAAATAAAAACAAAAAATCATATGATTTGGTTTTCATTTGCATTTAGGTATCACTTGAGAACATTCCACATTCCGGCCACACAGCACTATATTCGAGCAAGCCAAGTATTTGCAAGCACTTTGGTGAAGAAGCCTGCCTTGTTCCTTCTCTCACACAGCGATCCAATCGGTTCGGTCAAGGCAAATACCCTAGTAAAGCAATCATGGGAATCGGCCGGCATTCGTTGCGACTGGAAATGCTGGGACAAATCACCGCATGTGGCTCATTTTCAGCGCTATCGTGATGATTATACCAACATTTTGTTTGGTTTTCTACACTCAGTCAACATGATACAGGAAGCTGAAGCCATGCGTGCTCGTATTTAAATACAATTAACTTTAAATAAATGAAGAAGAAAGAAACTAAGTATCTTTTGTTCGATTTTGGCGATTTCTGTACGATTTTTTTTTGAAAATTGTTTTCATTTTTTTGTCGTTATTTTTATGTTTATCATTTTTGTTATTGGAACCATTTGTTTTTATCTTAAATTTCAATGACTTCTCGTTCCATAAATTATCGATCAAAGGGAAAATTGCATTCTTCAATAAATATGTTTTATATTATGTGGTACATCATAGTATGTGGTTTCTGGTTTTCAATCCGTTGAAAGCTATTCAAATATTATCATTTTATATTTTTCCACACACACACACACACACACACACACACACACACATACAGAGAGATATATGTATGATTTATTTAAGATCACCAAGTATCCAAATGTCTAGATCATTGAAAATAAAATTTATATGACTAGCCAATACCATTTTTTTTTCTCGAATTTCAATGCAAAACTATTGGTTCGGAGAGTAAACAAAAACCTTTGAACAAAATTAAAAAAAAAAACTTTCTCATTTTTATGCGCAAATATCTTTTATTTAGTATACTGTACTGAAATTGTATGAAAAAATTATCGAATAACTTAGGCTCCCGTTGGACGAGGAGAATTTTTAAGTGATTGTATTATTTTCTTCTTTTCAAATTAGGTGAATTTTATTCAAAAAAAAAATTACTAAATGCTTAATTCGATGAGGTTGTTAGAACAAATGTTGAGAGAAGAGTTGAATGCGAGGCCGATGTTTTCGTTTATGTTTTTTTTTCGATCAGATCGACTTAAAGCCGTTGATACAAGTACAAATAGCCTAATTCCTTTGGTGGATTTTGCGAGATAGCAACTTTACTGTCATTGAATATGACCCATTTGTCGTTCTTTAAAATGTGACACACATAATGACCGACCTGCGATGATGAGCCCATATGCGAAATGAACCCAACCAACTTGTATTCTGCAAAAGAAGAATAAAAAGAGAGACGAATCAGAAATGAATCTATTACTAATACCGAAATCTAATTTGGTATGATCTGAAAATTCTGTGAAAAATCCACAATTTTCTTTTTGTCCAATACATACGACCATCGCCATCCCGATATTGTTGTGGAGCTGGAGGAGCGTTGCTACTAGCTTCAACTGCAGCACCTTCTTCCAAATTGTCAATTTCCATTTGATGAGAGAAGATCCAATCGGCGGCCCGTTCGATGTTGTTGTTTGTTTCTTTCAATGCTTTGGTTGCTTGGACTTTATTGAATCCCATACCCATGAGCATCTCCAATCCAGACGGATCAGGTACAAATGCGACGCCCGACACATCGGTTCCGGGTGGAACAAATGGATCACCAAAGTCACTGTCAGATATGTGCTCCATGAGCCATTGTGTGGCCAATTCGATTTCAGCGTTTTTGGTGTAAAACAAAGCACGTTTGCAGGCTTCAATTGGAAAGCCCATTTCGGTCAATTGACCCATAAACCCTTCGTCGAATTCGGGCTGTGGAGGTTCTTTGTCCAATTCAGGCAAGAGCTCTTCATTTGATTGCAGTCCCGTCGAACGTAATGCACTCAAATCCAAAATGTCGGGAATTTCAACAGCAACATCGAGCTTAACACATGTCCAGTCTTCGCGTAATGTGAATTTTTTCAAATGCAAAATTATGTAATCGGGCATCGTAGCCAGGCGAGTGGTTTTTTTAGCATTTGTTTGGCCATTGATGGCTGTACTGTAAAATTGTTCAACAACTTCAGTTTGACCGAATCGATCGAGGCAATATTGCAATGGGATTCGTGGTCGAACATGCAAATTTGGATCAATCTTTTGGCCACGGCTTTCAGCCTCAGCCACTTTTTGATCATATTCACGCACCTCGGCAGCATTCGTGGCTAGTTGCAATGGAATATGCAACGGAAGGCAGTATTCATCACGTTTTGTGTACTTAACTTTGCCGCTGGCGCAACATTCAACCCGATCTTCCACCGAAAATTTCAATGCATCGGCTGGATTTGACTCGTTGCGGCTGTGTTTTTCGAGTTCGCTAATCACATGTAACAGAAATTCTTTGGGGTACAAGATGGATAAATATATGATTTGTTAAATTAATTCATCCATAAATTATTATTCCTAATCATAAAGGGAATGCTAATGTTAAATTAATAGATAAATGTCTAGTTCTTGTAAAAATATAGGGGAATAGACCTTGAGCATCCTGCTGTTGTTTACTGGAGAATTCTTTATGATTCTTTCCGATGAGATTTTTGAACATAACCGGTGAAATGCCCGTGCTATCCGAATCCAATGTATTGTCGGCAACGCCACTGTATTTGCCGCTCCATAAGCCAACACCGAGCTTGGCACTGAAATCAAGAGAAAAACATTGAGCGTTAATTGGAATCGAAAGTGGAGTAATGATTTAATGCGACAGAAACCACTTACAATTGAATGTCAAAATCGTTGGCCGGATTACTGGGATACCGGTCGAAAATTTGCGGTGCTTTTGTGACGAACCGCTCAACGAAATCCGGAATTGTGAATAATGTTTGCATAACACTGTTCATGTAACAGGAGTTGCCAAGATTTTTCATGCCCGTGTATCCGGGGCCAGAGATTGGCTCTAAATTGCTTGAACTTTCGGTTAAAATGCTCCATTCGCCGATACGTTGATTCAAGTCCAATTCCAGCTCAATCATTGATTTGTCAGTCTTTTCCAATTGATTCGTTTTGATACCGAAATGCGCCAAATGCTCAATTAAATTGGGATTTTCCACCATATCATCTTCAGAATAACTGAAAACATCACCCTTACCATCGGGTGTGATTGTTCCCAGTTTAACGGCCAATGGATATCCGCATTCGCTGTAATGTTGAATGGCATGATCATTGCCACCAGATCCATCGAAAAATCGGCGACCACAAAGGATTGAACCGTCCGTCAGATTCAACCATAAATTATTAGTCAAATCGCATTTTTCACACTTCCAACCAGATGGCGGAATTTTCTTTCCATTGTCCAACTGTTGCAAATTAGTCGCATATTGCGACACTTGACGCTTTTCGCCATCCCAGGTGCCAGTCAATGCATCTTTTTCCAATTTTGTTGTAATCGATTCGGCCGCCAAAATCGCTTCGACCGCATTGCTAACCTAAAGAAACCGCCACATAGTAACCATACACGTTAAAAAGGAGCGCCTCTCTTGGAATTGGAATATGTGTTTCTCAAATAGAGACTGATGAATGTACTTACCAAAAGTGGCAAATCAATATTTGGGTATGGAATTTTGACGGCATTCGGAAAAACGACGACATTCAAGTGGTCTTTGTATTCGTATTTGCGTTTATTTTCGCTTGGATCAAAACCACCTTCTACACCGATCGCCAAGCGAGTAATTTTCTTTTCCGGGCCATCTGTTTGTGGCTCATTTGTTGCAGGTATTTCGATTTTTTCGCGAAAAATGTGCAAAAATACGGCGTTTCCACTCTTTTGGTAATAGCCATCAACATAATCTTGACCAAATCCGAGAAATGTTGACAGACTCACATACAGTCCCGTTGGTGTTTCCTACATTCAACATTTTTATTCGTGAGTGTTAGTTTTGTTCGAATGAATAGCACCCGAACCCAAAATCACTTACCGGTGTGTCGTATGAATAAACGCATTCATCCTTAAAAACATTATCGTTTCCGCATGGTACCCGAATGTTTTTCAAGTGTGCACTCAACACTTCCATGATTTATTCGAATCGAGAATTAAACCTAAACCAAACATAGAAACAGAACCAAGGCAAAAAAAAAAATGAGTCATGTTTATAAATTAGATGACACACAGAGAAAATCAATGGAATTTAAATGTGTCTGTCGATGTTATATTTTTATAAGAACAACAATAAAGCCGATAGAGTTCGATGCAGACAAAGAAATTGCAATTATTTCCTTTTTTGCTGTTATTTCAATTGGAATTGATAGTAATGTTTGTGCAAAATGTTCTACTCACTTCAAAAACCAAATCGGATTAAAAAATGCTCAATGGTTGGAGCATAAGACCGCCAAAAATTATATTTTACTAATGATAAATATCAAAACTAACAATTGATGGTGTTCTTTAGCGCTTCTCTCTATCTGTAATCGAATGACAAGCAAAATAGACAGTCATGGAGTAATTTCACCATATTCCGCTCAAATTATGCATGGTATCACCGCTGGTGAATGCCGTATTTTCTTTTACCAGTTGGCCAAACTGTGTCAATTTTCATAATAAGTATTTGATGTTTATCCCAAAGTTTGTGGTGTTCAATGAACTTGATAAAATATTCATCAGTAAGGAGAAAGTAAAAACAAATCAAAATTCAGCGTTTTATCATGTGAAAAGTTCCATTTTTCATAATCTTTGAATTCCGGCTTAATGCCACAACAGCATTGCAATGAACGTTTAGTTTTTGCGATGAGTTCATTGTTTTTAAGTTTCTGCTCTCGTTCGAGTACATTTGACAGATTCGCAAAGTAAATGGATGTGTGCAAGTGTGTGCGTTGAGCGCGCACATGTGATTGTAATTTTGACATTTCACACTTAATTCTTATACACGCGACCGTAGAACGGAAAGTAAAACGTCGAACGTGTTAGACAACTACGTTTACGGTCTTTCTTCTCTCAAATGCATGCATTTCTGGCAGGCGTTTGACCATACGAATTTTGCAACCGTAAGAAATTAAGGGAAAGTGTGACATATTTTTTCTTGATTGTGTTGTGAATAGTCTCATTCGTTCGTTCGAAATTCCATTGTCATCATTTTTTTTGTTCAATATATCGCGTCGTTTGTAAGTAATCGAGTGAAAATGTCGAAAAAACGCGGAAATAAGAAGAAAGATCTTGATGACGATTTCGATGATACGGCCAGCAAAGTGTCGTCGCTGGCCGAAAGTGATATCACCACCGTAAGCTCGAAGTCGGCTGCTAAGAAGAAAAGTGGCAAAAGCAAAGGTAAAAAGGGTAAAAATGACGATTGGAGCGATGATGATGCCCCAGAGACCATCAATATTGAGGAATCGTTATCGTCAAAAAAGAAAAAGGGAAAAGGAAAGAGCAAACGCGATGATAGCGATGATGACGATGAACCGATTGTAATTGCCAAGAAATCAAATAAGGTATGTGTGCCTTCTAATTTTCAACATATGGTTGGATTCGAAGCAATAAATTTACATTCAATGTTTGTTTGACATTTGCAGAAGAAGAACAAAGGCAAAAATAAGGATTCCGATGATGAGGATGATGTAGCTAGTGATGGTGCCAGTGAAGTGTCTTCGAATGCTCCTACTAAGCAATCGGCCAAATTAAAGAAAAAGGGTAAGAAAGGCAAAAAAGACGACGACTGGCCTGATGACGATCAAGATGAAGAGAGCAAACCAGCTCCGAAGAAATCCGCCCAAAAGAAAGGCAAAAAGAACAAAAAGGATGATTGTTCCGACGATAGTGCCGATGAAGACAAATTGGATTTAGATGTTGAGTCAGAGGAAGAGGCACCCGTTGCACAAATCGCCAGTGCAAACAAGAAGAAAAACAAGAAAAACAAAAAGGCCACTGAAGTTGAGGAAGAAGAAGAACAACTTTTCAACGAAGACGAATCGCTCGATGAAGTTGAAGGTAAAATGGATTTCGCATTTAAATTTGGTATTAACATAAAAACGCATATGCGTTTTCGAAGAAGTTCCAATTGCCTCAAAACACACGTTCAACAAGTGTTTTTTTAAATGCTGCTCCTTGTGAACATTCGGTTTGAAATATTAAATTTTATTTAAATATCCATAAATTTTCAGAAGCTGTTGCTGAGTCTTTGTCAAAAGTGAAACTAGACGAGCCAGCAGAGCAAAAGGAGCCGGAGCGTGAACCTGAAGTCGCCCCAGAGCCCCAGGCAGAACAACCAGAAGAAGCCGATTCACCTAGCCCAGTGAATGATGAGGATGACATGAGTGAGAAGAGTGAGAAGAAAGAGAAACGCGTTACAAACAAGGAGAAGAAGAAGCTTAAAAAACAGCAAGACTACGAGAAACAAATGGAAGCTCTCACGAAAAAAGGTGGCCAAGGCCAATCGGAACTTGATTCCAACTTTACAATGTCGCAAGTGCAGAAGAGCGGTGGCCAAAAAGCAGCCCTGGAGCATGCAGTCGACATTAAAATCGAAAATTTTACCATTTCAGCGAAAGGCAATGATTTGTTTGTCAATGCAAATTTACTGATCGCAAACGGCAGACGTTATGGTTTAGTTGGCCCAAATGGTCACGGTAAGACTACACTATTGCGTCACATAGCGACACGCGCATTCGCAATTCCGCCAAATATCGATGTATTGCTCTGTGAACAAGAGGTGGTGGCCGATGATTACACTGCCGTCGAAACTATACTCAATGCCGATGTAAAGCGCAGCAAACTCCTGGAACAATGCAAAGAATTGGAGACAAAAATTGAAGCCGGTGACTTAGATGTTCAAGATGAATTGAACGATGTGTATGCTGAATTAAAGGCGATCGGTGCCGATTCAGCCGAACCACGAGCTCGTCGTATTCTAGCTGGTTTGGGCTTCTCTAAATCAATGCAAAATCGTGCAACTAAGAATTTCTCTGGTGGTTGGAGAATGAGAGTGTCATTGGCACGAGCACTTTATTTGGAACCAACACTTTTGATGCTCGATGAACCGACCAATCACTTGGATTTGAACGCTGTCATTTGGCTTGATAAGTAAGTACATACATGTTTTCACATTTGGTTGGCATTGAAGCGGTTTTGATTTGTTTCATTCACAACTGACCACTTTCATTCATTTTTTTTTAGCTATCTACAAGGATGGAAGAAAACATTGTTGATTGTGTCTCACGACCAGAGTTTCTTGGACAATGTGTGCAACGAAATTATCCATTTAGACAATAAAAAATTATACTATTACAAAGGCAATTATTCAATGTTTAAGAAAATGTTTGTGCAAAAGCGGCGCGAACAAAACAAGGAGTTTGAAAAGCAGGAGAAACGTATCAAGGAATTGAAGGCACATGGTCAATCGAAGAAGGCGGCCGAAAAGAAACAAAAAGAAGTGCTGACGCGGAAACAGGAGAAGAATCGCAGCAAAAATCAAAAGAACGATGACGATGATGCACCACAAGAATTGCTCTCAAGACCGAAAGATTATGTTGTCAAGTTCCGATTCCCCGATCCACCTCCATTACAGCCACCAATTTTGGGATTGCACAGTAAGTTGTAAATCGAATTAGATTGGCAAAATGAAATGTAAAAAAAACACACAATTTTATTTTCAGATGTCACTTTCAATTTCGACGGACAGCCACCGTTGTTTATAAAAACGGATTTTGGTATTGACTTGAACAGTCGTATTGCCATCGTCGGCCCGAATGGTGTGGGTAAATCTACGTTTTTGAAATTATTAGTCGGTGACCTGGAACCAAAGATTGGTGAACTTCGGAGAAACCATCGTTTGGTGCGTAATCTCAATTAAACTTGTCGCATTTTTTTCTTGCTAATCTAATGGATATGATCGAATTGAATCTAGTACAGAGTCAAAGAAGCTAATGATTTTACAATTTCTATTACAGCACATCGGACGGTTCGATCAGCATTCAGGTGAACATTTAACGGCTGAAGAAAGTGCCGCCGAATATTTACAACGTTTGTTTGATTTACCACATGAAAAGGCTCGCAAAGCGTTGGGATCATTTGGTTTAATCAGTCATGCGCATACAATTAAAATGAAAGATTTATCTGGTGGTCAAAAGGCCCGTGTTGCTTTAGCTGAACTGTGCCTAAGCGCTCCAGATGTGTTGATTCTTGATGAACCGACAAACAATTTGGATATTGAATCGATTGATGCATTGGCCGAAGCCATCAATGAATATAAAGGTGGAGTAGTCATCGTTAGTCACGACGAACGATTGATCCGAGAAACAGCGTGTACGCTCTACGTCATAGAAGAACAAACCATTAATGAAATCGATGGAGACTTTGACGACTACCGTAAAGAATTGCTGGAAAGTCTCGGTGAAGTTGTCAATAATCCAAGTATTGTTGCCAATGCGGCCGTTCTGCAGTGATCAATTCCTATCACAATATTGGCTTATCGAGAAAAAAAAATCCATTGTAAAATACACTTTTCAAATTCACTGTTGATGAAAAATAAATTAATTTTTGCTAAATTTTATTGTTTAAACTTTATTTGTTCAAAATTTGATGTTTTTATTTCTGTTCGCAGCCATTTGTTTGATTATTTTGGCATGGTTTTTTAATTCACTCATTCGTTTATTTCAACAATAATTATGAACGATATCTTAGTTTTACATCTTCATTTATGGTATTTTTGGTGTCGAAAAACGTCTTTCAATCCTTTGCTCGTCATCGGTTTATTTGTATCGTAGGGTCGTTGAAATGGTCGCAATTTGCAGCCAAATCTCAATTGGCCTGATTCTTTTTTACCACCGAAACCGCCACCCAAACGTCTCGGTTTCCATCCTTCCAATCGTCGTTCATGTTCTTGATCAACGATAATCTCTCGATTATCGATGACTCTTTGGTCCATGTCGTAGATTGCATCTTTTACCGCTGAACTCGATTCGTACTCCACGAAAGCGTATTGTTTCGAAATGGCCGTTACTGCATCACGAACCAAACGTAAGTTCACAATTTTACCATATCGTTGAAATTTGTGCCGAATCGTTGCCTAATCAACATTGAAATTGAAAAATGGTTTTAGTTTGGCTTGGTGTTGTTTCAAACTCTTCTTTCAAAAACAAACTCTTACCTCGTCAGTGCGTAAGTGTAAACGGCCGATGAAGATGGTATGTTTTGGATTTCCAACAACCCTTTCATTTGGCTTGTAATGTGATTTTATGGCCCGAACAATGCCATTATCATGTGGATATGTGTCCGTTCCTAGGTAAGTACAGAAACATAATCAGTCAAATACCAAAGAATTTTCATACGCAAATTTAAAAAAGAAAGTTGTAAAATATTTAAATTAAAAGATGATTTCGTTTCCAGTAGACTTTGTCTGAGACAAATTTTCTTTATTTCATCACTTTTATAAATAATTTACTTCGACTCTAACCGAAACGATTTTCTGTCCCATGCTACGTACCATCGATTGATCCAACTCGAATAGGATCGTAGGTTTCAGCATATTTGGTCCATTTGATCGAATCTTTAGCTGAATCTCTGGCCGAATCCTTTTTCTCACTCATTTAAACAGTAAACTTCGGTGCAATCGCGATTGTAAACAGAACACAAATGCCAATCGTTTACCGCGATGGAAAAATGAATCGATTGTATTGACATTTAGTCATTAAACCCATCCATTTGGGTTTCAATGACATTTCTCACCACTACACATACAAATTGTTGTGTATCTCATATACCGCAATGCGAGTACGCATTAACACATCGCCAGTATATCTTCACTTTTCTCCGTTGTTTACGTTTTGAACTTGGTTTCTTTCCAGAACAAATTTGTGAGCGTCAACGCTTTTCATTCGAATCTCTTTTTTTTCTTGCACGGTTTTATTTTCATAACTAATTCGAATTGTTTTCCATTGGAATTTTCCATAATCCATCGTTAGATTCGTCAATAATTCCGAATTTAAAATGCTCGGCTGTATTGTATCGGGACGATTGGTATGTGAATTCTATCTAGAATGTTCTCTAATGAATCGATCGAGCACATTTTTTTTTTCGTCAATTTCAATGCGTTTCTTTTTGCATAGGTCCAAATGGACTTTCAACAAGTGGAAGAAGGTAAATTTCTGTTGAATATTCCGGAGGCAGACAATATAAATCACATTGTGATCTTTTTGACCGGTGCCATTCCATTGCCGGCGGGGCTGGCGGGTGCAGTTTATTTTTCCTGGCCAGACCCAAATGCACCGCCAAATTGGCAATTCTTAGGTAACTATTTACAAGAAAAATGTGTTCCAGCACGTAGAGACCCGTTTTCACATCAATTTACATTCGAATTTTTCAGGCTATATTTCGAACAACAAACCATCGGCCATTTTCAAAATATCAACCCTGAAAAAGTTGGACGAAATGGAAACAAATGGACTATCAGCAGCCATGTCTCAGTTTAATGTGTTCGGTTCGCAGCCCATTTCGCATACTGCACAAATCGGCGTTTCAATTGAGCCTGAGTCAACAGTTACCCAATTGGAACCAGCAACGGTAAGTACTATTTATCGCCGCTAACTACGATTTTATTTGAAAATTTTACTAATTTCAATTTTGCTTTTGAATCGTAGACAAATACAACGAGTTATGTTCAGTTCGGACAAAAGATGCTCGAGAATTTCATCAATTTTATTAGCAGTTTTGCAGTGACACAGGCACAAATGGTACCAAATCCAACGGAAACGTTCGTTCCACTGTCGACCATTCAGACCTGGTACCAAAATTTCGAGCGAAGACTTCAGCAAAATCCAAACTTTTGGAAATAGTGAACCGGCCAAGTGCGGTGCATAAGCGATTAGAATGGGACAAATCTTGTTGATATCCAGTTACTATTCAGAGAGCCTCGTTAATAATCAAATGCATGAATCGGCCAATGACCTATCAGATTGAATATTTTAGATGTTGCAGATGTTGATATTACATGATTCGGTATGCTAACGAAATGGCCTCACATTCATTCTTTATATACGCTATTTGTACAAATACGCAACTCAAATTACCAATAAACTAAATATTGAGACAAAGAATTCTTTTTCATTTGATTCGATGATTTTTCAGACTCGAATTCAGTAAATATTCTTCAACGAGGCTAAAAGCTGTTGCGTTCGAATACGCACAATTTTTGAGACCATTTTTTTAGTTGAATAAATTGTTTTTTTTTTGGATTTTGGTATGTGTTTAGTCCTAAACTCGTTTTTTTATGTTAACATTTGTTGGTTCATTATAAAGTCTCGAACAATTATTTCTGGCGGAATCATCGAAATATCATATCATTAACTATAATTCTATGGGTGAGATTGAGAGTAGTGTATGTTTGATTGACTTTGTTACGAAAGAGAAGAGCAAGTTTCTGTCGACTTAAAAATGGTTAAAAGCGAGTATGTTCATTTTTAGCGGGTCCTCGCGGTTTTTCACGGTTTCCGCGGAACTGATAAGAGATAACAATTTGGTGTCTTCGGCAAAGTTGTAGCACTCGAGGTCTTCTATAACATTGCCGAAGTCAGTTATCTCTTATCTCTTATCAGTTCCGCGAAAAGCGCGAAAAATGATAAGAAAAAAAAATTTCTATATAAAATTTGCTTTTTTATGTGCGCGATTTGCGCGCAACTGATAAGAGATAAGAGATAACTGTCTTCAGCTTAGTTATAGAAGACCTCAAGTACTACAACTTTGCCGAAGACACCATGTTGTTATCTTTTATCAGTTGTGCGAAAACCATGAAGACCGCGGAGGCTAGACGGTACTACAACATACTCTACTTTAACGCCAACAGAATCATCAGAAAACATACTCGCTTTTTCAAAAATATAAATCGAAGAAAAAACATACTCCACTCTCAATCTCACCCATAGAATTGGAACCGTTTATTAACTATAAATTTATGATTGACTAGCTATCTCGCCTCGCTTCGCTCGGCTCGGGCGCTAGTCGCTTTTTCATCTTTGAGACATCAAATATTTGCAATCTCCTCTCATTCAATTATCTATTCATCATTTCTCATAAACTTTTATCAATATTTCGAATGATTCTCTTCTTTCCCCCACCCAGTGCTCTTCGATCCATTCTCTCATCAACCAAACATTCACTCTTTCACTTTCTTCTTCTATTTCTCTATTGTTCTTTTTGTATCGTTTTTCACTTGATTCTATTCTCTCTCTCTCTCTCTCTCTCTCTCTCTCTCTCTCTCTCTCTCTCTCTCTCTCTCTCTCCATTTCCCCCGATCTTATATTGTCTCGTTCTACTGATTTTCCAATATCTCGCTTTGTTGTTCTTTCTATTTATCTTTAATTGTCTTATTCGACACTTTTCATTTTCCAATCACTCATCACCATCACCCATTTATTTAACGTTCTAATTTTTTTCTTAATTATCATATATCTTTTATTAATTCACACGAATTCAGAGCTATTTTCTTTTCCACCGCTCATTTCAAAATATGTACATTGTCCTGACGTTATGACAACAATAAACATTTGGAAACCATTAATACTTTTCTATGTCTGGTCGTTTTTAAATCAGTGTTTCAAGCTTACACAATTCTCCAAGTTACTCTATAAAAAGCCAATCTACGTGTGTCTCCCCATTTTAATTTCATTCAAAACAAATTTCACTCATGTATGGTTTGTCCTGATGCGAATTATGAATTTTTTCAATTTATTTATTTTTAAATGAATTCAAATCTCTTTTACAATAATACGATATTATATCGAAATCCGTATAAAAGACCAGTAATGGACCCATCATATTTCGGTTACTACGATTCGTAGCCCATAAGTATATGAATTTTATTTGTTCACCCACGAAAAAAACAACACAATGATTTTCATCCGCTTGGTATCAGTTAAAATTATATCTTCGCAGTGTACGCAGATGCGCGTTTAATAACTTGTTTCAATTAAAATTTCATATGGAAGCTCAATAATTTCCACACAACATCGGGACCCAAAAACAACCCGCAAAAATAATTTCCATTTTCGTTTAGACTCTGGTGCGAATGAAAAACCTAATTAATTTTCAAGATCGCGCGTTTAATAACTTGTTTTAATTAAAATTTTATATGGTGTTAAAAGTTCACCGCATCGGTAAACAATGCAAATAGTACCCAAAAGTCAGTGCTATATTCATTAGAATTAGTTCGTAAGTTATTCGAAAATGTTATGTGTTCGGGAATATTCTCCCCATTAACTTCGTTAGTGGCAATAAATTGTTTGAAAAATCGGCATAGTTTTATTAACATCTAACCAACGTGTGTCTCGAATTTTATTGCCGTGTGGCTAGGCATCGAATAAGAAAGCGTTGCTGCTGTTGATGTTTTGGTTGTTCTGCTAATAACGGAAAATCTTGCTGGATGGAAAAATGGTTGGAAGAAAATACACAGCGTATATGAAACATTGGAGCGTCACATGCGTGCCTTCTGCAATACGTACACACGTTCGCATCGGATGGCAGTATCTGAATGTCGATGCGATGTAGATGGGATTTGTGTAGTATACATGCACCTCACCAGCTCATGACAACTTTCGCATCGCATGCGAATGGAGCGTGTAGCTCGACCGCTAAAAATGGTAACATGCTGCTGTTGCTGCTATCTCTACTCCTATACACGACTAGGCAATTGATTCCGAGCATTTTCCCTCAACAAACGGCCGATCAGACACGGCAGTGATCAAGTTAAGCAGCTCATTTCCACCGTCAACAGAATCAGTACAATTTTGAACTTCGCACAGGATAGATGTACAGATGCTTACAACATTTTGGAGCAGTCAATGACTGCGATTCATTTGTTTCTTTCGTTGGCGAAACGTATCTTTCAAACGGAATAATTTGAAATGAAAAATACGTTGACACTTAGCAAATGGCTTAAATCACAACATTATTGGCACAAAATGAGAAATTTTGTTGTTCGTTCAACTGGAATGACTGTGTTGATAGTCAAAGATCGTTGTGAAACAATCAATTACTGCGGTAAAATGAATTACTGCGACGCCACAAATATTCAGCAATTTAAGCAATAAAAAAAAAGTTTTTGATCAAAAATTCGGCGGAAAATCAGTTTTTTGACGTTTTTAACCGCGACCAACAAAAACGAAACAAGTGACAACAAACAATTGAAAAGAAGAAAAAAAAGAAGCAACAATGGAATGTCAGTGTTTTATTTATTTATTAAAATTTTAAATTCCAAGGAAAATTCATTCGAAGTAAGTAGTATTAGTTGGAATATTAGTTGAACCCTTCGAATTACCTATAAATTAATTGTTGTAATATAAAAAGGATTTCTTTTTTTCGTGCCGTTGTTTTTTTTGTGCGCCAAATGTATGGTCTATTATTCACTGCTCAATGTTACATCCGGAAAAGTGCATTCAGTTGTGTGTTTGCAGTTGCTTGTTTCGAAAGTTGTGCGATGTAAACACAATGGGGGAGCGAATAGATAGAGAGTGTGTGTGGGGGTATTTTGTGAATGACGGTGTACGAACGAACGACGTCAAGCAAAAACTTAATCGGTTGAAATGGCGAAAGTTATTCCCATTCAATGCATTGTATTCACACAGAAGGTTCATAAATAATTTCGGAAAATGAGCAATTATTTTTCAACACTTGAAATTTTCAAACCTCACCACCTGCATTTGCCTGTTTCTCAACTGTCCTTTTTTGCAGCTTATTCCTATCGAAGCAAAGAACGAACTTTGCCATTTCCAATTTTAGACAGTGATTTTACAGATTTTGATAAGACAACAAATTGATCTTGTTGTTGTTTTGTGTATACGTGTGTGTGTATGGGCTAAATTCGAGGACCTAATGCTGTTGATTATTATATATGAATTGAAAAGTTCTAAAGGTTCGAAGGTTCATCATTCAGGATGTGATTGAGACGTGTGTTTCAACCGAATTATATTATAATTAAGTCAAAAAGATAATTTTGAATGCAAATTTGCCAACAGCTTTCGCTTGTTGTGTTGGCATTTTAGTGACATTTCAACGTGTTTGTTGTCTTCTCCGTGTCAATAATGGAGCGTGTGATAGGAGTGAAATGTTATTAAAATTACATGAACATTCTTTTGTCGATGAATTTTTTATGTTGGCCTTAATCCATTCATAATGGGTGGCAAATGAGGAAATGGAGCAAATAAAAAGTTTATCCAAATCTCTGCTATTCTTGAATTGATTCTTGACATGCAAAAAAAGCGTTGAATCGTTTTTTTCTTCTTCTTTTATTCCATTTTGGTTCAGGCAACAAACTTACAGAATTGAATTTTTCAAAGCATTTTCCTATCGTTTATCAATTTCCGTAACCAAAAGGAAAAAGAATGGGCGAATAGTTTTCCAGTGCTCAATCATTCATGAACAATTCTTATATCGACAACAAAGAAAAACAATTTTCAACGGTTTGTCACATTTATCTTTGCCTCATCATCTTGGTTTTTTTTTGAATGATGTTTTCCGAACAATACCGAATTATTCGATCAAAAATTTTTTCCCATTCATCTCAAATAAAGTTTTTGCGTGGAAAGCAAGAGAGAAAAAAAAATGTTGAATTAGTTTATCTTCACTAAGATGACGAATGCTTTTTGAAGAGAGTGAATTAATGAATGAATATTGAAGATTGATCGACATTTTATGAATAGATCCGTTTCATTGTTAATTTAATCAATTACTCTAATACCATCGAATAATATGTTTTATAAAAGCTGAAAAAATCTCTGAAAATGGCTAAACGATTCAACACCCAATCATAACTACCATATGAATGTCCTTATTTGAATGTCCGAGAATGAAAACGCAACTTCTATTCACAACACATATAAGTGAAACAAAAATAAAAAAATTTATTGAAATGAAACAACAAAATCGAATTTTTTCAAAGTGTAACAACAAAAAAGATTTTTTTAAAGTGTAACATCGGTATGTAGTAAGTGTAACAACATACCGATGTTACACTTT